AAAATTCTATCTTATCTTTCAGGAGAATGAACTATGGTATAGTCATAAAAAATAAAATTCAGTAAATTTTGACATAATTTTCAATCTGTAATGCCCAATATTTCTGGCAAAGTTTATGCCCTGATGGAAGAAGCCTTGAGACATGCACAGGAAAATATCCATCATCTGCCATGGGCACCTAGAGACCCCCTGGGAACCCAGGTGTTCCTGGACTGCCAGGACATCTGGGGAGAGCCTGCTTCCATTTCCCTCAGGAACCTGCAGGAGAACTGTGCTCAGGAACAGGCAAGATGAGACTTCCTGAACCCCACTCTCAGATCTACCAGCTGAGCAATCCCACCCAAAATCAGCAGGATTTTCACAATACAGAGCAAGCACCCGTGAAATATCAAACACAGTTCCAGCCTTGCAATGAATGTTAATCTTCGCAATGAAATGTATCACAGTACTCTTGCACTGCAAAATCCTATTTTCACCCTAAATACTGAAAGATGAGACATACACTATTTCTTGGTACTTATTCTTTGTTTAGTTGTGTTTTTATTGGGGATTTGAATACAGCTAATCCAATGTATGCAATGTAGACAAATTTATTAATTATATCCTGCATACTACCTTGCATTTAAGTGTGGGCACTTTTTACATTTATTTTTAATGTACCAATTTAAGATGAGGTAGCAGTACAATTTTACAAAAGGACAACTAAGCAGACAAAGATTGAGACATAACAATTTCTTTTCTGTGAGGATCAGAAGCATCATTGCTAGAGATGAACTCTTTGAAGATAATAGCTGCCAATTACTTGAGGATAAATCTAGGTGTATAGAGAGCCTGGATTATTTCTTTTTCCTACCTTCATTAAGAATTTTACTGAAGTAGCTGTAGTCTTTACATTCATATTCACCTGCTGTGTCCTACTGCACTGCAGACAAGTGTTTCTCTCTATACAGTAGATTACTAAGAGAGAAAAACATCTATAATATATATGGGAGTAGGTGGTATTAACTTGAATAGTCAATCATTTTTACTGTGCAAGTACCAAATTAGATGAGGAATATGCCTGCAGAAGGAAGAAAAAAAATGTCAATAGGTTGCTAACTGCTACTTATTTTGGTCAAGATAATACCCTAATTTCAGATTCCAGGCATAGGGATTAACATGATAAATATGCAAACTTGCACAGCTGAGGTTAAGATGCAGTGCACAGTAAATATTTTACCAGCAGCTAAGTGATAGGCCCACATACTGCAAGTGACAGCTTTACTGGAACCAGGAAGGGAGCTGAGGTAACAAAGAATTTGAACCTGGCAGTAAAAGACAATATATATATTCTATTTTAACAAAGATCCAATAAGTCTGTTTTAATATAAATGTTGCCTTAGCCAAATAGATTTCTAAACTGTGAGTTTGTTTTTCTAGGCTGCTAGGTGAATGGAGATAAACAAGCTCCTTGGACAGCCTTTAAAAACAATATTTTTGGTAGACTGCACCGCTGAGAGTTGGGAATGAATATTGAAAAATAAGTACTTTATTTTCTCTGGGTCATGTTCTTCTGTGGATATTTGCATTATGAAATATATAACAAAAAAAGCATTAGTCACCAGACATCAGAGCCTGGTCCAGCACCTACTAAAGTCAGAGCAAAAACTTCCACTGACTTCAGTGGAAATTGGATCAGGCCCACAACAATTTTGTCCAAACTATACATTTTGTGCCAAACATTGATAGTGGAACAAAGCTTCTGACAGTGAAACTATTGTCATGACATGACCTGCCACACTGCCTTTTCCCATGGCAAGCACCTGAGAGGAGCCCTGACTGCAGGAGGACATCTACACCAGACAAAGGGAAGGAGCCAGATGAGACAGAAAGGAGGAAGAGGAGCCAAAGGAGAATGGTTACGGAGGAGGAATTGGTCTGACTTGTAAATTGGAAATGGGGAAGCTGGGACAGACTCTGAGGAAAGCTGGACAGGAGCTGCCTGCAAGCAGTGCTGCAGAGGGAAGTTTCCATGGGGAAGCCTGGAATAGCTGGAAAAAGGTAGGCAAGAAGCTACTGAGACAGGCATCAAAAGAAATAACAAAGAGAAGGCTCAGCAAGAAACATCAGCTGCTGTGGCCACAATCATCTCCAAAACACAGAAAGGAGTTTGTCTGGTGAAGGCTGGGCTGCAGCAGGTCAGCAGTGCCCAGTGACAATTGCAGACAGTGATGGACACAAGATTCACTGGGAGAGGAGGGTGGTAAGGAAAGGATGGGCTACAGACACTCATACACAAGTGTACTTTTCTCCAAAGATGCCTTAGTCAAGGCTTTTGAAAAACAGAGAAATAAATCACTATTAGAAAACATGGAAAAAGAGTTAAAGCTGTTAAGGCAAACCGAATAAAAATAAAAAACACATAAAATGAGGAGAAACAACTTTGATAGTTTATAGACTTTATTGCTTCTATTCTCTCCAAACTTATAAAACTCAGTAGGTGCATTTCATTCCTTTATTTGAATTAAAGTAAAACAGATAAAATCTGGAGTCATTGTACACAGTTAATAGAATATAAAGAGATAAACTGAGGGTGGCTTTAATGGTTTACATTCTATATTGTTTTCCTGAATCTTTGAATAAATATTTCTCAGCACAATAAATTTTATATTAGGCTATATTTAAGAGGAGGATGAAATTACAGAGCTGCTGCAACGTATCATTCTTCCTAGGCAACAAAAACCATGGCTGAATGGTTTTCTGATGAATTTCAGATGCTTGTGTTCATCTGGCCTGCATAGCATTTGTAATATTATAAATTTGGTAGAGAATTTCAGTTCTCAGTTACTCTGTCCTATGACAGCAAAAATCCAAATAATACATTTGAAATGCAAAACTACCAGAGAAAAGATTTAATTTTTTTTATTCACATCAGTAATATTGTATCAGTGCCTAAGAAACTTAGAAATATTCCTGTCTTGAGAAAAACTACTCTTACAAATAAATAAAAAGTCTTAACTGATTGGAGAAATAAATTGTTGAAAATGGAAAAAAATAAAGTAGTATCCTCAATTTTCAGCTAGGAAGCAACACACAAGAAGCCTCTTGTGGCAAAGCAGAGGTTTAAAACCAGTCTGGTGACTTGTCCAGAAGTTAAAACAACTGTTTTTTCTCAAATTACTTGCCAAAGGGAACAGCACTATACCCATGAGTTGTAACCAAGAGTTGTAGACTGTGGTCCTTTAACGTGGACAAAATCAGTATCTTTCTCAGTAATGAACATTTCAGGTCATAAGCTGCTTTGTCCACTTCAGTGAAAACAAGCAAGCAAACAAACAAACATCAAAAGTGCATTCTTAAATGATATTGTAAATGGTACAAAAAGGATGATCCATTAAAAAGAAAATTAGGCAGCAGCTTTGCATGAATTGAGTGTCTGCTGTATTATATTAATGTCACCTGTCACTACAGAGATTTAAGAGTGCTTCAGAACTGAAAAAAAACCAGCATTTGTTAAAAAAAGGATGCAATAACAATCAGTAGCTCACATTATTTGCTCTTTTATTTTTTCTTTTTTCAAGACTATATTAGTAATATTTTTATTTTATTTTTTTTTTATTTTATTTTAGCCAACAATCAAATTTGCCACTTGCTGTCACTGTATGGTACATGTAACAGAAAAATGTATTTACTGCCTGGTCATTTTTACTGCTCCATCAGCAAATCCCTTCCCCTGCTCTGTTGCTAGGAGCACATGTTGCTGGTTCCTCAGTCTTACAGACCTTTACAAGTTGTAAAGGAAATGAAGTTAAACCTTAGGGTTGTTCTAGTCCAGCACTGATATAGGTGAGCAAGAAAAGAGAGTTACCAGGACTTAACTATTCACTGGGGAGCTTGAGGTGAGGGGATGCCTTCATCATGTGGCAAAACATTAATTGAACATCTGTCATCTGTAGTTTTTGGGAAGCAGGAGAAAGCAATAAGAAAAATGTTGAATTGTCTTTAACAAGAGTGAAAAAAATGCAAATCTGAAAACTATAAATTTTAGAAAGCTTTCTTTTCTGGTGACTGCAGTATTAAAGAAGTCTTATCAGGCTTTAACCTGATAAGTAATGTAGATAAGTAATTGCAAGCTGGGGCTTCCCTCTCTTCACAGCAGACAGTGTGATCAACTTTGAACAACACAAGTAATGAGGCCTCAGATAGCAAAGACATGGCAGACTTTATCTGACGTGGCCCTTAATTGCATTGTTTTAATTGCCAGAAATCTCTAAAACCTCATGCTGGGCTGCAGACAAAAAGTGTCTTCTGAAGGCATTTAGATTGCTGTTAAGGAGCTACTTCCTTCCACTGCATAGCTGGGATTTTTTCTGTCTATTGGGAGCCTCTTAGAGCCTAGGATGATAAAATTAAAGTGGAGCAACACTCTTAGTATGAAATTAAATGCTCAGTGTAGGAGCAGGTTGAGACCAGCTGCTTTTGCTGTAGCACATGGAGGTTTCAGAGGAAGGTAGGAAATAAAGATGCTGATGTAGCAAGGGTTAACCATGGTTGAACAAAATTATTTAAGACTGAATTAAATACCATAGATGCTATGAAAGCAGTGAGAATTGGTTTTATAATGATAGAGGGCGTCCAGTACACACTAATTAGTTGCAAAATAAAAAGGAAAGGAAACATCAAGTAAGAACTGTCTTATTAATCTGTACTTTTTTAGAATTAGAAATCAACTCTTAGCTCTTATATTACTGCTTGCTAGTGAAATGTGTGAAATTAGAAGCCTCACAATACACCAAAATAGTACATTAGGCCAAACCAGCAGCTTCAGCCAGAGGAAAATTGTTGGACCATGAGAGCCTGTTCTCATTCATTGTACTCTTGTCAAATCCAGCAGTTCAAGCTCAACTTTTTAGGCGAGATATCTGTCTCTGAATTCTTGGATGAAGACATGGTTGAAATAATTCGGCTCTTGTTAAAAAAGGGCACTAGGAATAAAACGTTTCCGAAAACACGTTGGTCTGTGAGCTGAGGAGAAGTAACTGCTGCAAGAGAGCCTGCTGTCTCTAGCACCCTAGCTTTGTTCCTGTGAAAAGCTGAGAATCTAGAGAAAATTAAGTACTAAGAATAGAGAACAGCCTCTCCATTACTTAGGCACTGGGAAGGACAGGGCTCAATAGCTACCTTTGTCAGGTATCTGCAGATTTCAGAAGGAAGATTCCCAGGCCTGTGCAGGCCGTGCTCACCGTGCCAGATCTTTTGGCGGTGTTTCTCCACAACAGTGCAGTACTGAGGTGCACCAGCCTGAACTCTAAAAACTACAGGTCTTTGTTAGCATGAGGCTTCACAGAGACTAATCCTTTGCTTCTTGGCCAGTCTCAGGGAAAGAAGAAAGCAGATTAGGTTAAGCAAATGTGTTGCTTGCAGAATCAGATCTGCTTTAAGTAGTTGTAGCTCTACTGTATTTGTTCTCACAGTAAGAATGAGACAGTGAGTCACAACTAGAGTGGTTGATAAACCCAGTAAACCAGAGACATTTGACACAGAAAAACCAACCTCCTATTTATTAAATTGTGAGTTATCCCAGCTTCAGCTGCTTGGAGCTGGAGTTGTACAATTGATAAACATTGTGCTACCTTTCTTCTTCTCCTTAGGCACTAACTCCAGTGAGCTAATCAGCCCTCCAGAACTACCTATATTCCCTAGGGAGTAAAGCTCACACATCTGAACTTCATGACAGCTCTTCAGGTGAGAGTTTTTCACCTTTATCCACTGATAATCATTAATTTAAAAGAGTGGACTAACCCTTAATCTTTAATGTAGGCAGGGTTTTGGTGAAGCAGAAGCTTGCATGAGTCCAATTAGCTCATGACTTAAGAATCTATTTTTAATTTCAGTAGCTCAGTATTTCTGTAAGACTTCAGTAGCTTGATATCTTCTTTTCACATAGAAATTGAACATGTATGTAGCTTCATATTTAGTTAATACCAGTAAAACCTTAAATATTACTTTTAAAATTCAACTAATATAAAGACTTCATAGATAGGGACAAAAAAGAGATGAAATTTAATACTTGTCAGTCTTCTGCTGCCTTCATAGCTAAGTCTTTCCAAGATTGCTTTTGGATAAATGCTTTCACTCAGAAATTATTCACTCTCTGTCCCAAGAAAAATACATGCATATACAAGGTTAAAAGTAAGCACAGAAACCAGTTCAAATATTAATGGACCCATTGCTTTTAATGATTCTTTTGCAGTGTTACAAACAGTCCAGATTTTGAGATAATTTAAGAGTTTTATAGGGTTTTAAGGTTAGAAAGCATCTTTAGGTGTATCAGTGTACTGAGATGCTTAAGAAACTTTGTAAAAGTCAGTGATTTTTCATTCTTGATGATCAAGTTTTGTCTTTATGTGTGTAAATTTTATGTGTAGATTACAAACCCAGAATCTATCACTTGCCTTGCCCAAATTTTGTTTGATTTTTATCCAAATTTGAAGACACTCTGTGGAAAAGCCATCTTTCCTAACTTTCACAATTCAGCACCCCAGTTGTCTACTGAACAAGATACAAGCTTCTTATACAAAATCCTGAAACACCTGAGTTTGGCAGGGACCTCGGGAGATCACCTAATCCAAGTTTCCTAGTCACAGCAGGGTCATCTATGACACGTTGCCCAGGACTGCTATCAGTCAGGTTTGAATACCTTCACCAAAAGAGACTCTACAACATCTCCAAACAGCCAGTTTCAGTACTCGTCCCATCTTAAAGTGACAAAAATTCTTTCTCACATTTAGAGAGAATCCCTGAGTCTTCTGCTCTCTGGCCCCAGCCTCTCTGTGTATGAAAGGTTTTCTAGTCCTTGTATTATCTCAGGTGCCCTTTACTGTTTACTCTCTGTAACTCCATGAGGTACTGGGGAGCTCAGAGCTGGACACAGGACTCCATGTGTGGCCTCACCAGTCCTGAGCAGAGAGGAAAGATCATCTCCCTTGACCTGTTGGCAAGAGTTTGCCAAATGCAGCCCAGGATGACTTCTTCACCATGAGGGCCACACTGTTCATCTTGTTCCCCAATGTTCCTGGGTCCTTCTCTTCAAAGCTGCTTTCCAGATCATCAGCTACACCCTTTTAGTTTAAACTTTAAAGACACCCCTGAAAGTTTAAAGACATTCTCCCTTCTTCTATCACTACAGGCCTTGTAAAAACTCCCTCTTCAACTTTCTTGTAAGCACATTCTATGTATTATCTTGTTGGATTTTTTTTTTCCCTCATAAAAGAGTCCATGTTAACAATTTACTGTCAGCTATGCAACAGCTTCTGTATTTCCCATGAGCTCCACTCTAATCTATAAATTTGTGACACCGAAATCTACTGGCACTATGCTTATAGTGACATATATGGTGATATGCTTACAGTGACTGAGCTTTTTGTGACCTGCACATCTTCTAGCAGCCCCAAATTCTTGCATATTGCACAATATTTATCACAGAATTGAAAACAGTTAAAATTATGAGATTATTTTAAAAAATATAAACACTTGGTCTTTGACAGTGCTCCAAGCTGTGCTTTTTCTTTGATGCCCAGTGGCTCCCACACAGACATCACACTGCTATTGCAGCATTGCTTTCTCTTACTAAACATATTTACTTTCAGTTTGAGTAAAGCAGTGGATGCAAAAAAAAATCTTCACTCACTGGTAGCAGAGAAAAACATTTATTCCATTTTTTAAAAATTACAGGAAATTCCACATCTTCTGATCAATGGGAGTCATTCTGCTGTACTTTTTGGCCTCATAAGTATCAGTGAAGGTTAGTTAGTCTTTCTCAAAACAATGGGACAGATTTTGAACACAAATGTTCTGCCAAACAGCCAGGCCCTGCTCCTTCTTTCCCCTGTTAAGGATACATTACATCCTATGTCTGCAGGCTGCAGTTGTATTTTCACTTCCAGGAGGTCTCCAAGGACACTGCATTCCTGGTTTATGTGCTTCCCATCATCACTGAATGTTGTGTCTTTCCTCTCTCAGCAAGTGAGCATGAGGGGAAACTAGACAGATACAGCCAGATAATTGTCTTTATCAGTTACACAAGGTTTAGCTACTTAGGGCCCCACCGCTCCAGCCAGGCTTACACAGTAACAGCAGGAGGGTTGATAAAACACTGCTTAACTATTTTGAGGGATAATATAAAATTACTCCAGATTATTCCTTCTATTCCTGGAAAATGGCTTGTTTTGCAGCCTGTTCCTGCTAACAGCCATGTGTACCCAGTACTAGACAAGCCATGGCAATTTGTATTATATCCCAGAATGTCCCTATATACAAGTTTAAGCTGAACTGACTTGCAGAAAGAAAAATTAAAATTCAGCCTCCAAGTAAGTATTTTTGATAAAAGAACGGGATGTTTTTAAGAAAACTCAGCAAAAGATTTACATAAATATCCTTAAAGGATGTTAAAAAAATAAAAAGGTTTTAGTTTTTTGGGGATTTTTTTCCACAAAATTTCACGTTAGACCTTTTTATAAAGGTTACATGGGCTATTTTTGGAGTTGATGTTAAAAATTTTGGCTCAGCCAGTGGAGAAAATAGAGGTTTAAAATTGCTACAGTGAGAGAAGGGCTGCCTGATGCTTGCTTTTCTCCATGTCCAATGCACTAGGAAATATTGCTGCCTTAGAAATCAAAGAGTTTTCAGAAAACTGAATTCCCTATATAGTTAGAAGACTATACCTACTTGGAACAAGAAGGAAATGGACTTTGTGATACCACTGTAGTATTTCTAGCAAAGATGAGTCATGGACCTTGACCAAATATAGTATTGCTTAAGGGAAGTTAGCCTTCAATTGACACTTTTAAATTTTTTTCTCTCTCCGGGAAAAAAAACAGATTTGAAAGCCACTTATAATCGTGGATGTTTCTCAACACACAAGTTGCTTCACTGGAAATGTACTGGCACTCAGGAAACTATCTTCAAATCAATGTAATTGCCTGTGTATATCAGTACTTTGCTGGTGCAAATGTCACACTACAGTTTTTCCATCTGTTTTATTTTTTTTCAATGCCCAGAGTGAGATGATCCAACAGAACAGAGGAAGTAAAAACAGAGTTTACCAGAGTCTTACGCAGATTTATTTCTTTCATGTGTTAATATTAAATCCTCACTCCTTTGTGAAAAATGCAAGGAACAAAGAAATCTGTTAAAATTCTACTTTACAATGTAATACAGAACCTCCTTCCAGTACCTGGGAGGAACCTACAAGAAAGGTGGAGAGCATTTATGAGAACATGCAGTGACAGGAGAGGGAGGAATGGATTCAAACTAAAAGTGAGTAGGTTTGGATTAGATGTTAGAAGGAAATTAATCATTGAGAGGCCAGTGAGCCACTGGGACAGGTTGCTCAGAGGAGCTGTGGATGCTCCAGCCCTGGAAGTGTTCAAGGCCAGCTTGAATGGGGTTTTGAGCAACCTGGTCTAGTAGAAGGTGTCCCTGCCTATGGCAGGAAGGTGGAACAAAATGATCTTTAATGTCCCTTCTAACCTAAGCCATTCTATGACTCCATGGTTCTTTGATTCCATGATTAGGAAAAGCTAACATTCCAACCTAGAGTTTATGTACTCTTATTCCTGAATTTATTTCTGAAAAACTCTACAGTATTATCCTGATGACAACCTCATTTAAGCAATTTTCACACCTCTGTAACACATTATCTTTGATTTATACCAACATAAATCAAAGAAGTATTGGGACAAGCTATTTAAAAATTCAGAAAGTAGCTGAAGAGACCATTCATATCTTGGTGGATGCATTCAAAACCAACATTTAAGAATATGTGACTTATCAGGTAAAACTTGTTTTCAACAGAGGTTGGTGTTGAACACTAGATTGCTACTAGGTCACACAGACTGAGATGTTAAGGAGCAATTTGTAGCTATGCTGGGTAAGTTAGCATAGACTTATTTTGAAAGAATTTGACTCAATAATTTATTCTAAATCATCTGGTGGGTCTTTTTGTTGTTTGTTTGTTTTTTGAGTGTTTTGGTTTTTGGGTTTTTTTTCTGAAAAGCATCTTCCACTTAGATTTTTGGATTCTATTTTGATTTTTTTCCCCCTCAACCAGTAAGTTTCACTGTAGACGTGCTACTTTAAAATCTTAACTATAATATACTCAGCTGATGTAAATTGCTATAGCATCAACATGGATGATCATTAATTCACATTGCATGTTAGGTATCAAAGGCACAGAAGATGTAAAAACTTACAGAAGTGTTAGCTCTTTTATTTTATTGCTGTAATTCATCATAAAACTGGTTCTCTCCAGTAAAGCCAGTTGCTTTAAGACTGCTGACAACATTAACTCATCTGACCTGCACGTTGTTTCATTCCCATTGGGACTAAAACACCCTTAAAGTGAAATTACTATCAGCTGTAAAGATAATATATGCATTTATAAAAAGGAAGCAGTTCAATAGAAACATTTCACAAACACCTGACAAATTTCCATAGCATAGCATTCACACTTTGAGAGAACTGAAGGAAAACATTGCTGAAAAATGCATTTTTTGTTGAAGTACTATGGCACTACAGAGTCTTGCCAAACTTTTCAAATAACAAGATTTTTGGTTTGGTTTGTCATTGGAAAAAAAGGACAAGTGAAAAAAGAATTATGCTATGATTTAAAATTACCTTTCTACAAGATGAAACTCCAAAACCACATTCTCTTCTGACAGGATCATTTCTTAGCTAGTTCTAAT